TTGTTTGTTGGAGCATTTCTCTTTAAATCCTGGAGGTTGCTTGAGAAAATCCCAGTTGTCAGATCAGAACTTGTGACACCAACCACGTCATGCTCAAAGTCACTTGCTGCTGTGTAATTGGATGAACGGATATGTGTGTTAACAAGTAGCTCAACAGGTATATCTAGTGTGATCTAAAGTGGCCACTAAGTGTAGAATAGACTAAACAGCAAGGGTATTTTGTTGACAAATAATATCCAGTTTCATCATACTTTTTACAATAATTAAATTCTGAAAGTCACTTTTTAACCTGAAACAGGAAGTATCTCTCTTTAGTTTGAGTGGGGATTTATTCCCTCTACCCAAATAGGAGAAGCGCTTCATTTATTGCCCAATCAACCACAGAATTTAGTCACTGAATAAGAAATAAAAATCACAACATTTAAGAAAAAAAAAAAAATCTGCAGGTTTATTGTTTTTTTTTTTCTTAACAGTACAGTAGATACATGTCATGACCCTGCATTGGTAGGGAATAGGTGCCTTATAGAACAAGCAGTGCTTATTATATTCATGTGACGAATGACTGACAAATCAAACACATACACTAGGAGAGAGGTCTTTTGACTTCCCAGCAATCTCTTGACATAAATACCTGCAGATGCATCACTTCCATTTCACAATCATTAAAATGGAATCCAGAGTTTTCAACCCATACTCAGGAACCACAGTACAGTCTAGGAAGACCATAACTTGGTCTTGGTCCATTTAGTTAAAAATGAGAAAAAAAAGTGAAACACTGCGTACAAATAAGGTCACTTAAATGAGAGAAAAATGGAAGCATGTAGGCTGGTTAACAAAGCAAGTCGTCAAGCTGATGCGAGAGCAGTTCGAAGGCGTGACTCTGTCCTGGTATGCTTGTCTGTGTTGCTGGTCGTACAGGGAAGCAAGAGGCGTAGCGGGTGGGGGATGCCTCGGTGAGTTTGTTGTTGCATTAACGCATCGTGACAAACTCCTCGGATGAGGTGGGGTGAATGGCGACTGTCTTGTCAAAGTCTGCTTTGGTAGCACCCATCTTGATGGCCACGGCAAATCCTTGTAGCATCTCATCACAGCCAAGGCCCTGCATGTGCAGCCCTACCACCTGCGAAAATTGTAAAAAATACAGTCGTCTTTTCTTTTTTTTTTTTTTTAAAGAACTGCAGCAGAGTGAAAAGAAACTGTTAAAAGATTTTAGTAGAGGCTTTAATGACACTTAAAGATGGCTTCAGGACTGCCTCCTGTATTAGTTTAAGTACTTCCAAGTTATTTTTTTGGAAAGTCTCAAATCCATTCTTCAATCCTGGTACATATAGCTGTGAAAGTGTAGAAAACAATTGCTTACAACATATGTGAAGAGCTCCTGTATTACTGGTTGGGGGAAAGGCCCCATACGCTAACATTTACTGGTGATGTCTTAGCCCAAATGTGGTTGTTTACGAATAAAAATAATGCACTTCAACGTTAAGATGATTTAGAGAAGAACCTCCTTTTGTTGTTTAAATAATAGAAATAAATCGTCAAGAAGATATTCATTAAAATATTCACTATTTCATAAATTTAGGTGACAGTAATAATGTGCTAGAGTCACATTTATTTAGAGCCTGTTGTCTGGAGAAGAGATGACACTTACCTTCTCCTCTTTGCCCACACACACCAGCTTCATGATGCACTGACTCTTCCTGCTGGTGATAGCGTGATACATTGGTGTGAAAGAAGTCTTGTAAATCTTCACATTCTCCTTCCCTCTGGTTTTAATGGCCTCCTCTGTGACACGAACATTATCAAAAGTAAGGACAGTTTTACATCTTGCCGAGTAAAAATGGGAATAGCGCATAAGATAAACGATTAAATGAAAGCCGGCCACAGAAACTGAGTTAAACCCACCTAGATGTGTTTTTTATTGTTCTACTCACCCTCTGTGAGGCCCACCGTGCCGATTGGTGGGTGGCTGAACACCACAGTGGGAATACAGGTGTAGTCCAACTTGGAGTCCTTCTTTCCTTCAAACAGTCTGTGCGCCAGCTTTCTGCCTGCAGCAATGGCAACTGTCCCAACACATGAAAACCTCATCAGAATGCTGCTAACACTCAAAATGCCCACAAAAGGGCATTTTATATTAAAAATAGGTTTAAAAAAAACAAACTCAAACACTTCAAAATACAGAAGTAGAAAAAAGGCACCAGGAGAAGAACTTCACCAGGATACCAACATGTTTTGTCAAGAAACCTTGGTCACTCAATAAAGTTTTTTTTTTACTCTTTTGTATTAAAGCTTTGACCTCAAATAAGAGTTTTTTGTTAACTACAGAGATGAAGAATTGATTTTTTTGGTTTTAATCGGCATTCATCATTTCACCCTGCCCTCTTCAGAAGTTACTGAAAAAGACCAATTGATCCACTAAATATAGATAAATAATAGACTCTCAAAAAGGATTTCAGAGCTGGGGACATTTGGGACCAAATCCTTGTCTGAATACTGTTTTCTTCATTTACCCACACGAGCAATCAGTGAGCCTGAGTCATACCTGAAAAGCCTTCCTGTCTGAGCGCCTGACCCTCCCACGCGCAAGAAACCCGACGGTTGTAAACACAACAGACTCA